ATATATATATATATATATATATATATAAAGTTGGGAAAATAAAAGATGAGTTGGCACCTCTCTTTGGCCAAGGACTCTATTTATCTATTTTCTCCTTTTTTTTGGTTTATTCCACAATAACTCTAAATATTTTGGTTTACTTCTCCTTTCCTTAATTCCTATGATTAATGTATATTAAAGTTTAATAGTGTGTAATTGCACCAAATATTACTCCTATTACGTTACTAGGCATTCCAATAATCACTCTCTCAATCCCCACCTTAATTACTCTGATTATCCAATGTATTCTTTACTTTGTATATATATATAAGCCAAACAAGACAAAAGGAGTTGGCCATTCTTTTGATATTCTATTTGATCTTTTCGCTTTTCAATTCTAGCATTTTTATTTCTTCTTAACATATTTTATTTTCTTGATTTAAACTCTTTATCTTCTTCAATTTCTATCACCTTATCGTTTGGCTTCTCATGTCACCTTATTAATAGTATTGTGAATTTTTTTGTCTAGGTAAAGGTGTTATTTGAAGAAAATATTATATTTTGGATGATGGGAGTACGCAAATGACATTCTGGTGAAAAATCTTCATCTGAAAGGTAAACTATATAAGATAGATGTTTTAACATATTTTTTACTCCTCTGTGCAATATATACATAGCTATTCCAATTTCTAATTTGACATATGTTAGCTTGTAATTTTTCTATGAAAACAGAAGCAAATCAAGCCTAGAATAGTTGTCCAGTTGAAAAAAAAATTATTTTGTGGAGAATGATTTATTGGAACACCTTTATGACCTCTAAATTTTAGCTTGCTAGAAACTGTTTTCCATTATTAATTCATTATTATTCGTTTTCTTAAGGTTAAGGAAGGTCCAGAAAGATATTATACTATAAACTGAATTGTGTTTTTGCTAAAAATCTTTGTTGCCATTGATATGAAAATTCGTGTTAATGAGCCATTCGTGAGAGTCTGGGGTTTACTCTGAAAATTGTAGTAACTTTTTACTTACTATGGAGTTCTTATATATCTTCATTTGCCTTTTATTCGAGACTTGAGTCACTGTAGCATGTAGCACACATTTGTGTGTTGTGGATTTCTTTTTTTTTTAGTAGTACATGAATATGTACTTCACTTGACATTTTTTTTGTGAAATTGGAAGATGTAAGTGTATATAACCAATAATAAGTTGGTATTTTTGCTTTCTTTATGTTTTTAGTTTATTTAGTTTTCTTTTTTTGCTTCTTCAATTTGAATAAAAAAAAGAATACATACATATATTTAAAAGTGAAAAAGTTTCTTAAACATTCTTTTTATTTTTATTTTATTTTAGAAAAGAGGTTTTATAATGAAATATGCAGTAAAATATTCTAATTTCAGTAAAAATATTACCTTTTTTTTTATTTAATCAATACAAAAGAATTAAAAATTATATGCATATACAAGAAAATTGTTGTTCATTCTATCTCTGCTAAGTTCATAAAAATATTATTTCAAAATTTATTACTATCTTTATAACTGGGCGAAGAGCGGTCAAATTCACTAGTTGACCAAATATATTGGAAGAAAAAGATAGAAATGGATGGGAGAAGACAAAGCTTGGTATCTTAGTCCTAGATAAGGTGGGATGCTTAATCTTAAATGGAAGACAAGTCAATGTTACACCGACCGCGCATGATTGATAAGAGTAGTATTATTACCGTGTCTTCAATCTTTACCAAGGCTGAACGGGTCATTACCTAATTAACGTGCTGTAGATTTAGGCGAGGTTTCCTTTTGGGAAGTCCAGTAGTCTTGGTCGTTCCTCTCCCCCGATCTATTGGATCTGCACTTTGATTTACTCTGTTTGGTATATTCATATAGTGGGTGGAATGGCGAGGAGTAGATCGTCTTCCACTACTTTCAGGTACATTAATCCGGCTTACTATCTGAAACGGCCAAAGCGTCTGGCTTTGCTCTTCATCGTTTTTGTCTTCGCCACCTTCTTCTTTTGGGATCGACAAACTTTAGTCCGTGATCATCAGGTTCTTCTCTTCATTTTCCATTTGTTTCGCCGTCCTTTTTCTCTGATTATTTTCGTTGTGGAATTCATGTTTAATTTTGGTTTAAAAGTTTTTAAAGTAGCGTTCTTTAATTACAAAACAAGTATATTCTTTGTGTGTTTTGCAGGAAGAGATCTCTAAGTTGAATGAAGAAGTGATGCAATTGCGAAATCTGGTTAGTGGTTATCTGAATTATTTAAAGCTGTGGAGTTTTTAATTTTAATAATCAGCCTACTGTCTTTAATTCTTTTGTGGCTGCCATCGCTCTTCTTACTTTGTTGGGGAACTGTATGCTAGAGCGTCTTTTAATACGTGCCAGTACAAAGTTGTAATTACTCGAGCTACCTCCTGTTCTTCCTTCTTCAAATTAAATGAGGTTGAGAATCTGATTAACTACTTGTAATGAGGGAAAAAGATAAATTTACTAATTCATGTTAGATTTAACATCTCTGTGTTAATATAGGAAAAATATTAATGCCTAGAGGGATTTATTTGGCCAGCTTGGTTATGAAGCCTGAATTTGGTTCGCTTAGCGAAGAGCTACCATATACCAGCTTTTCACCTACTTCAATCTGCTTAAGTAAGGCTAGTACTGCCCAATACTGAATTTGATTTGCCTAGTGAAGAGTTTCTCTGTCTTTCACTGAGCTTAATACCTCAATCTGCTTCAGTTAGGTCAGGGGCTAGTACTGCAGTAATGGGCCCTATAATTGGGCTTGGAGTTTAAAATATATTTGTGCTATTAAAGCTTAGGACCATTGGTCACGCCCAACTCTAGTCCTAAAAAGGATAAGCGGTTGCTGCAAATATAATCCGATCTAAAAGTCCGGAGTCGAATCCCACAGAGAACTAAGGCTTAGCTATATCTGTTTAATATCACTAAAAAGACAAGTTTGAACAATTTTCTAAATTATAAAGATTGAGATTTATATTTCTAGCTAATTAACTAGCAAATACTAGAAAGCGGTAAAATTATCAACTAACGAGACAAAGGGTTGGAGACTAAATTAAGGAGGTCTAGAGTTATGATTTCCCCAATTGTCGGAATCATTACGGCTATGTTCCCTACAATTTCGCCGATGTATTCTCTACTGATCGTGAGCACTTTAGGTGCCGCAATTCTCTCTCGAGCAACTACAACAATTTACTAGACATATTCTCTCGAACTACGCTAGTTGGCTTCATCTAACCACTCACTATGACCACGTCAAGGCTTTGTTATTTCTAAACCTACCTTTAAATCCAATGTATTGATTTCTCACATACGTTAGGAGTGACGTTGTTCAACAACCACCTAAATATGTATCCTTTCTCAAGCAACACATAATAAATAGGCACAGTCAATCGATGGCCATTCAATCAACAACAATAAACACGTAGTTGAACAAGTAGAGAAATCCAACGGCTCAATTATATAAAAACATAACGAGAATTTATCCCACAAAAGGTTCTATCAAAACCCTAGATAACAATTTAGCTAATCATAATAGTATGTAAAACTACAATACTAAAAGTCATAACCAATAATGAAAAAATAGGAAGAGGAAGGAAAAACTCGTAGAAGAATTCCCCGCCTTGCTCCTATTGTGTCTCTGCCTCCTTAGGTCGAACCTGTGTCAAAAGCGTGTCCAACCTCCTCAAAATACCATTTTTCCATGTATATATACCAAGTAGGGTCGGGCCCAAACAATTATACCTTCTCCTACGCGAAAAAGGATAATTTTTCAGGTCCAGACACTCGCGGTCGCGGTCTGGGCACGGTATTTTCCCAGTGCACTGCATCAGTCCGCGCCTAGGTCCGCGGTCGCGGTTTCGACCGCGTTTTTTACCCTGTTTCGTTTGGAATTTGGAAAAACATAAAACATGAAAGTTGTAGCCCTTTGAGTTAGCTTTCTAACCATATATTGTGGAGCCCAAATGGAGTTTTGAGTGAAAAGTTATGTGCATTTTACTAGACAGTGCACAATATGCCTACTCGAGTCTTCGTTTGTTCTTAACTATCAAATTTGACCCTCGAACACGATCCCGGCTTAATTCCTTGGGCTTTTACTCAGACTTCAAAGCTCCAAATCACTAGAATTCATTCTATAACATCTATATAGCTCGGAATCACTCCTACAAGGCATAAAACACACAGTTAGTGCAAAACGCTAGCGATTAAAGCTCAAACTCAATTAAAGTGCAATAAATTAGATTGTAATAAGCGACTAAAATACGCAATTATAGCCTATCACCAACACCCCACACTTAAACCATTACTCGTCCTCGAGTAATCAAACTACACTTTATATAGACACAACCTCTTTTTTTTTTTTTTAACAATTCTCCTAACTCATCACACCAAGAATATTTAAAATAGACTAAGCACAAAAGCGTAACATCTTCACCTCAAGATTTGACTCACAAGTACCACGCATTATTCACAACTCACCCACTTACTCTAACATAGAGGTCACTGACATTACCTTTCCTTCATGAATCAAGTGCCCTCACACAACAAAAGAGAGTAGTTCCACACAAATAAATTTAAGAACACTTAGGAACTCAAGATAGAAAGAATTCACTCACTCTCAGAAATAACATTCATATGCCACAAAAGATGCACCATAGGCTTGCCCGTAGTGTACTACTCTACTAATTGAGCTCATTCAGTCTAGGATCAAATAGGACTTTATTTGGTTGTAATGTAGGCTGCGGGACGGGTAGGATACATTTAGATATAAGAGTGATTACACCTCCCTAAGCACTTTAATACATATACTTTAACATTCAAACCCCATACTTATGTCAAACCAAACTCCACCTTCACCTCAATGTATATTACCCATACTTCTTTAAGCACAATTACATCAAAAGCCACCACCACAAGGAATATTCTTCACAACAATACAACTACTTTTTTTCTTTTTCAATTCCAGTGGCTCTTACTTTTTCAAAACAGTGCACCTTTCTCCTTATTTAATTAGTTCCACTCAAAAGCCAAACCAACCACCCCACACTTTAACTTTTACACAGTTCATAAACAATTCAAGTGCTCATGAGAGGTTACAATGGTTCAAATAGATGGTTAATTCAAACAAATGGGTAAGGCTTGTAATGTGGTTGCCAAAGAAACAGGATTACAGGCTCAAAGGGGTTAACTACGATACATAATAATTAGGCGGGTAAAATATACATATCTGGCTCAACAAAGAAACGCCTATATCACTTCCAAGACTGAACAAAACTACTATTTTGCTTTGCAAACACACGGGGCAAGTTCTAGGCATCAAATGCAATGCACAAAATAACACCCAAACCTCACACACACATGGCAAATAACTCACTCAGGATTGGTTTCATCAAGACACTCTAGTCAAAGCAGTTAAGCAAAGTTAAGATCATACAATTTAATGTACTTATACAAGAGTCAAACATTGAGCCTAAGCGTCACAACCAGAGTACTTACTATTCTCAAGGCATAACAAAGTTAAGAGATATTGCTTCAATTCAAAACACAACACAATGACTCCTACTAAACTATCTACACCCGGTTCAAACAAAACCCTTGGAAAAGAACCGCGACACAAAGAAAAACCAAGGGGTAATTGGTACACTACCTAACAAAAGAATTTTTTTTTTTTGTCTTTTTTTTCTTTAGACTTAAATCCCTCAAGAAAATTGTCTAATAGATCCATTGTCGGGAATAGTCCAAATAAAAAAAAATTATTTAATTAAACTAACACAACTAAAGTAGCATGAAAAGTCACCCAGACTTCCTCCTCACCCCACACTTAAAAATGTGCCTTGTCCCAATGCACATCATAACTATAAGAGGGTAAGAGAAACTCCCTGGTAAGCCAAAGGCCGAAGCACTAGCAGCTCATCGGGTACTCAGACTTCTCCCAGGCTTGGTCCTTCGTGCGGGTACCTCACAGTTAGTTCCAACCATCTGGTTTGCTGTTGTATCCTTCCAATAACTTTGCTTCCATGCTCCTAAAAATAAAAAAATCGACACTACAAGAATAATACAATAATAAAAAAAATAATAAATAAAATAAACTAAAATTAAAAATAAAAAAAATAAAACTGGGTTGCCTCCCAACAAGCGCTTGATTTAACGCCGCGGCATGACGTGAATCACTTTTTGCCTCCACCTCGAGCTTATGAATTGAACCCCAAGTTTTGATTCAAGCTTATGATTATGGTCATGGGGCGATGGAGCGAATCTAACTGGCCCAAGGAAATAATGTAGTATTTTGCACTCCTTGGCCTTTGTATGAGGTATGTAATCCTGACTTTCTGGCAAAAAGAATTCCAGAATATATGCACCTCGTTCCTCATTCCTTGACTTTTCAATTGGTACGGATGACTCTATTTCCATATCATCATCCAAACATAATGTGGAAAAATGCTTGGAGTGTGGACCAATGCGCTCAAACACATGAACTTCAGGACTTTCAACATCCTCAACATCAATGATACTAGAGTCAACAAAATTTATATCCTCAAATTCCTTGGCTAGCTCTAGTCTTACTTCTTCAACATTGACATCCTCAAATTGTAGTTGGCTAGGTTGTTGATGTTCTACTCTGACCTCCCCAATTAACACCTCCAATTCATGCTCTTCTTGGCTACTATCCTCAATATTGGCTTGTTGAGCATTAAAAGCTCCAACCACTTGACTCAATTGAGCCTCCAACTTGCGAATAGTTGCCTCTTGCCTTTCTATCTGCAATTGTTTTTCATTATTTTGTTTCAGAAGTCACTTTAACATATCCTTGATCTCCTTCAGTTCTGCATCCCCAGGTTCTTTGTTCCTGTTAACTTCACAAGAAAAGGTAGAACCATCATAGTAAGGGGTTGGGGAAGATTAGAAATATAAGCAAAACCATAAAAGTGACCATTTTTACCACCACACACATCACACACATTCCACAAATAAGATTGAGTTGGTGCACATAACTCGTTCTCAGGAACGTTTTGAAAATTTTGCCACGGGTGGTTTCCTTCACAATATGTATGTAGATCAATAGTAGAATTATCTACACCTAAATTCCCATAATTCCAAAATGTCATGTTTCTCAAATCAACAGTTATAAAAAAAATACAAAAAAAAAAAATAAAAATAAAACAAAACAAAAGTTCAAACTTGAATCCTAGCAATATATACAGCTATAACTACACCGTTAGTTCCCCGGCAACGGCGCCAAAATTTGGTCATGCCCAACTTTAGTCCTAAAAAGGATAAGTGGTCGCTGCAAATATAATCCGGTCTAAAAGTCCGGAGTCGAATCCCACAGAGAACTAAGGCTTAGCTATATCTGTTTAATATTACTAAAAAGACAAGTTTGAACAATTTTCTAAATTATAAAGATTGAGATTTATATTTCTAGCTAATTAACTAGCAAATACTAGAAAGCGGTAAAATTATCAACTAACGAGACAAAGGGTTGGAGACTAAATTAAGGAGGTCAATTTCGCCGATGTATTCTCTACTGATCGTGAGCACTTTAGGTGCCGCAATTTTCTCTCGAGCAACTACAACAAGTTACTAGACATATTCTCTCGAACTACGCTAGTTCGCTTCATCTAACTGCTCACTATGACCACGTCAAGGCTTTGTTATTTCTAAACCTACCTTTAAACCCAATGTATTGATTTCTCAAATACGTTAGGAGTGACGTTGTTCAACAACCACCTAAATATGTATCCTTCTCAAGCAACACATAATAAATAGGTACAGTCAATCGACGGCCATTCAATCAACAACAATAAACACGTAGTTGAACAAGTAGAGAAATCCAACGGCTCAATTATATAAAAACATAACGAGAATTTATCCCACAAAAGGTTCTATCAAAACCCTAGATAACAAATTAGCTAATCATAATAGTATGTAAAACTACAATACTAAAAGTCATAACCAACAATGAAAAAATAGGAAGAGGAAGGAAAAACTCGTAGAAGAATTCCCCGCCTTGCTCCTATTGTGTCTCTGTCCTTAGGTCGAATCTGTGTCAAAAGCGTGTCCAACCTCCTCAAAATACCATTTTTCCATGTATATAGACCAAGTAGGGTCGGGTCCAAACAATTATACCTTCTCCTACACGAAAAAGGACAATTTTTCAGGTCTGGAAGCTCGCGGTCGCGGTTCGGGCGCGGTATTTTCCCAGTGCACTGCCTCAGTCCGCGTCCAAGTAGCGGTCGCGGTTTCGACCGCGTTTTTCACCCTGTTCCGTTTGGAATTTGGAAAACCGTTAAACATGAAAGTTGTAGCCCTTTGAGTTAGCTTTCCAACCATATATTGTGGAGCCCAAATGGAGTTCTGAGCAAAAAGTTATGTGCATTTTACTAGACAGTGCACAATATGCCTGCTCGAGTCTTCGTTTGTTCTTAACTATCAAATTTGACCCCCGAACACGATCCCGGCTTAATTCCTTGGGCTTTTACTTAGACTTCAAAGCTCCAAATCACTAGAATTCATTCCATAACGTCTATATAGCTCGGAATCACTCCTACAAGGCATAAAACACACAGTTAGTGCAAAACACTAGCGATTAAAGCTCAAACTCAATTAAAGTGCAGTAAATTAGAGTGTAATAAGCGACTAAAATACGCAATTATAGCCTATCATCAACCATCTTACCAAGTTTAGATATTATAGGAAATGAAGAAAAAGAAAAAGTCGAGCTACGACCGGCAAACAGAAAAGGAACTCAACTAAATTTGTCTTAAGAAGGTGATACATCTGGCTGAGCTCAAACCAGGATGTAAGGATTAGCAGATGGACTGACCGAACAAGAGGTGGTGGATGGAGTAAGAGTCGAGATGTCGCAATTTACCTATAGTGCACCATAGGTCAGCGCCTTTTGTGTCATTCCCTTAGCATTAAAGGGAGAGGTAACAGTAGGCGGAAAAAAGTCATCGCTGAGGCTTGTAGAATGCTTCCTCGTTGGGCTTACGGAGAACTAGAGGAGTGTTCAAGAAGACTTGAGAGTATTCTGTCCCAACATTTTAAGCCATTGGGTGTTGCCGTGTTGGTACTCTCAATATATATATATATATATATATATATATATATATATATATATATATATATATATGTATAATGAAACTTCATGAATATATCTTTGTGCTATGTACTTCTTTTCTTGTCCATCTTGTTTGTCTAAAACTTTGGTGGTTTGGTTTATATTTCTGGAAAAAGAATTACAAAGAAGGGATATGGCTAGTTATGACTTATGCCGGTATTATTTTCATGTGTGCTTGCTTCACAGTTTACCCATCTTCTGTTGTTTGCAGTATAGCATTCAAGCCTTTGATTTTAAATACTCAACTTCTATGCATTTATTTTGGATACTGTTTTAGCTGGAAGATTTGAAGAATGGTCGAGTCATGCCAGGTGAAAAGATGAAATCTAGTGGCAAAGGTGGTCATGCAGCGGAAAATATGGATTCACCAGACAATATCCTTGATGCTCAGCGAAGGGAGAAAGTAAAAGATGCTATGCTTCATGCTTGGAGTTCTTATGAAAAATATGCATGGGGTCATGATGAATTACAGGTGTGGATGTTACTTCGAATGAGTTATTTTTTGTGTTGTTAATGTTGCCTTTGTTTTGTTGTATCTTGTGATTTCGCAATTAGATCATTGGTGGAGGAATATGTAACGAAATTCTTGGAAAATGAATCCGGGACATTCCAATATCCTTTTTCCTTTTTGTGTGTTAAGAGGAAATGGGGTGTAATAGATGAGTAGTATTTTTCCTGGGTTTCCGACCAAGTGTCCGGTATCCACATTGGGGCCTGACTAAATCCGGATTCGCGCCGGGAAGTCCCACATTCGGGGTAAAGCGCTCCCTAACAAAGGCGACTCCATACCCAGGGACTCGAACCTTAGACCTCTGGTTAAGGATGGAGTACTTACCGCTCTACCACAACCCTTGTTGGTTAGATGATAGTTAATTACTTCATTAAATGAGTTAGTTGTAAATTTAAAAAACTATTTGAAAATTGAATGAGTTAGTTGTCAATTGATGTTCTCCATTACCTTTTCTTTTCTTTTTTATTTAATTTTCCTAAGGGCTATACCTTTTGTTGACTAGATAAGCATGTGACACTCTAGTTTTTCAATTACAATATTCTGCAGGTTAGCTTGCAACAGCAACGACAAAAACTACGCCTCAAAAACATAGATCATCATGATCTAGTTTGCTCTATTTGGGCCCATTTCATGTCAGCCTTCAATAGTTTGGGGTTTTCTAAAATTCTCTACAATTCCTAGTAACATACACTTTCTCAACAATTACTAGTAACTGCTCTAGTAAATAAGCTAGGAGATCCTAAAAACAAGGTTGCATCTAATGCTGATTATCACCTATCAAAGCTTTTGGCTGACCATTCAAATATGAAGGTAAAATGAAGTATTTGGTTGGATGTGCGTAGACATACCAGTACTGATAAAAAAAAGGTGCTTGGACATGCAAGTAACTTTTTTCTAAAACTGATAAATGTTTACTCTTGTCTTTTTGTCCTCTTGAGCCGAGGGTCTTTCGGAAACAGCCTCTCTACCCCTTCGGGGTAGGGGTAAGGTCTGGGTACACATTACCCTCCCCAGACCCCACTAGTGGAATTTCACTGGGTCGTTGTTGTTGTTGTATACACTTTTTCTTTTTGGGGAGAAAGTTAAAACAAATTCAAACTTTTTGTTTATTATGTTCTTACTCCATCCCATTTCATGTTCCCGTGTTTGACTGGGTATAAAATTTAAGAAATAAGGAAGACTTTTTACACGTAATACAAATAAATACAACATACCAGAATGACCTTCACTATTAACATATAAATGAAAGGAGGTAGCTTATCTTACCTTCCTGATAAAAAAGGGTTACCATATCCTCCCAGAGAAAAGGTTGTAAGAGTTCCACATATCACTTACTATTTCCATCTCCTAATAAAAAAATAGTTTTTATATCAAGTGGGGTCCTAAGAGGTTATGTCAGTAAGCGTAAAATGTTGTTGCTAAGAGTAAATTGTTTGCAATTCAAAAAATGTCAAGGAAGGAGTGCCACATAAAATGGGACAGGAGGAGTATATGTTCTTTCTTCTTATATCCTGACTAAGTATATTGATTTAGCATGTTTGATGCTCTGGATATTGCAAATGACTATGAAATCAATTACATAAGTGGCTAAGACTTGGCCTTTAATTTATTCTTTTCTAGTGTATGTTTTGACATGATTCTCTAGATATTTCTGAATTATTGTGAGTGTCCTGGTATTGAGGATAGCAATTTCATCTTGCAAAGTTAATGCGCTTGGGTTTTAAAATACAGACACCTTTATGCTACCTAACGAAGAACTTCAATGTTCTGATTTTGCTTAACATTTGGTTGATTTAAAATTAAAATAAAAGTACATCTGCTACAAGTTTCCAGAGGAGCTTTGATGTCAAATTAAAATTAGAGGAAGTTTGGGGTTTTGGCTGTGGAGTTGTATTTCTCAAAACTGGTCTGCTTCATGCTGAACCAGTCTGTTATCAATAAAAGTCATCTAGCGAAGAAATTCATGAAAATATAGACTTGGACATGGATAAACATTTTCTTCTGCCTACCTTTGCTGCTACTTGTCTTAAGAACAATATGTATATGGAAAGACACTTTTCTTACTTTTCCTTGAAGATTAAGATACAAATGTCTTTGTAATTTACATAATCAGCGCTTTCTTTGGTGATATGATGTAACGATTTGTTTTACCTATAGAAGGATATTTTTTTTGATAGGTAGCAAGATATAGTATCCCTTCATATGTGATTATTTTACTCTCTTTCTTCTTTTCTGTCTAAACACACACTTCTAGAAAATATTGACACAAAAGTTCATGCCTTGCAGCTTCAGTAATGTTCCTATCGTACCCTTGAGGCTGACTTGAATGATTGTATTTATGGAAAATAAAAGGTATATATAGGATAGTGTAACTGATTCTTGTTGATTGTAGACATTGGCTTTTGATCATGTACTATAGTTTTTTGACAATCAGAAAGGAAATGACTGCATGAAATCTGTTGGACATATCCTTTTTATTTCGTTTAAAATTGAACATTTTTAAAAGTTGATATACTTGCCTTGATTCTGCAGTTGGTTTCTGCTTTGTGCTTGTTGTACGTTATACATTACTTCTTTAGTGCACTTATGCTAAATTATTTAACAATTATGCTGAAAATGTCCAATCTCAGCCGCAATCCAAGAATGGTGTTGACAGTTTTGGTGGTCTTGGAGCAACCTTAATAGATTCTCTTGACACACTATATATCATGGGCCTGGATGAGCAATTTCAGAGAGCTAGAGAGTGAGTTTATGCTCTTCCTCTTCTAGAATCATGTGTATTACTTATGGTGCTTGTTTTGTCCGCAGACGAGAGAAAATGTTAAACTAAATACGGTGAAAATTATCAAAAGCAAGACACATGTGTGTCTTCACTAATTTAAAGTAAAAATGCAACTGCAATTGGTCAAGTATTTGTCAATTTTCCGTTTACCTTCTTGTTTCCTCCCTTTAAGGGAGGGAGGGAGGGAGAGATGTTTCATTCATTTTATCACTTCCAGTTTCCTTCTCGTTGTTAAGCATATTGGCTCTAATCTATTGAATAGTTTTTGCAAATGATGCAGTATGTTAGGTATTTAAGCTTTCCAATGTAATTGTTTTCAATGAATTATTCCACGTGGCTAATAGTGGCTAACACTTTACTGATGGCAGATGGGTTGCGAACTCCTTGGATTTCAACAAGAATTATGATGCAAGTGTTTTTGAGACAACCATAAGGTTGCTTTATAAGGTTTAATATGAGTTTTTTATGAGTTTTCGTTATCCTTTCTCAGCTTCAATGATCTAGTACCATGATTCTTGTATGGTTAATTATTTTTTTCAACAACTCAGGGTTGTAGGTGGGCTTCTTAGTACGTACGATCTATCTGGTGATAAGCTTTTCCTTGAAAAGGCTCAAGACATTGCTGACAGATTGTTGCCCGCATGGAATACAGAATCTGGAATCCCTTACAACATTATCAACTTGGCACATGGGAAGCCACATAACCCTGGCTGGACAGGGGTAAGTTTGAACTCTAATAAATTGCAGTTAATTCGCCCCTGTTGATACTACTCCAATTTCATCTGGCAAAGAGGATGGAGGGATCAGTTATCCCAGAAAAGGGATGTTCCCTGAAGATTGTGGAGGGTACCCGACATAGGAGAAGAGTATATATCTATTGGGAGGTTTCTGAAGAAGAATCCTCTCTTGAAGTTTCCTTATAATATGTTGATAGAACATTTAGTTTGCTTCTCTTTGTTCTTTTGCTCTCTTCCCTGCATTCACCTCCCCCCCCCCCCCCTTTCTTTTCAAAGAACTTGTATTCTTACCCGTTTTGCTAACATATTGACTGATCTGATTGTGATCTTTCTCCTGGAACTTGTCAGTTTGCTTATAGTTTCTATAGATTGTATTTCTCCAGAGGTGGTTTGTGCATTTTTTTGAAATTATTGCGCTCTTTGCTCTCAGGGTGATAGTATCCTGGCAGATTCTGGTACTGAGCAACTTGAGTTTATTGCTCTTTCGCAGAGGACAGGAGACCCAAAATATCAACAAAAGGTATGCCTGAGAAAATTTCTTAAAATACAAACTAGTTCATATTCTCATAAAACTACAACTTGAAACTATGATATGAAAATTGGTATTGTGTAAAATTGATTAAGCTACAGACTGTTGGGTCAATCTTCCCGTGTGATGAAAGGTGTATGTCCTATTTCAGGTGGAGAATGTTATCTTAGAACTTAACAAAACTTTTCCTGATGACGGTTTGCTTCCAATATACATTAATCCACATAAAGGCACAACATCATACTCAACTATAACATTTGGGGCAATGGGCGACAGGTAAATGACCTTCGTTTGTCCATTCTAGAATGATGCCTGTGAAAACCTGATTGAGTAGGAGTATTTATTCCCAAAAGAAAAAAATAGGGGTAGAGCCTTTATCCTATTTGTGAATTGACATTTAGAGCTTCCATGTTTTCTTTTCATATGGAAAGTTAGTAAAAGATTTTTTTGTTTCAGCTTTTATGAATATCTACTCAAGGTCTGGATACAAGGAAACAGAACTGCTGCTGTGAGTCATTATAGGTAAGCAGCTTAAGTTCTCTTCTGTCTGTTTTGCTTCAGATATTGTTGTCCTTTTAAAGCTTCAATTCAGTCCATCCGGTGTTTCACTTGATGGTTCCTGTAGGTCTAAGTGCATATATTAATGCTTAAACACTTCCTCAGCCTGAAATCAAATCTGATCATGTGTTGCAGGACTGCATAGAAATATTCGTTGACAGTGTTTACATATTTGGAGCATTATAGATTTTCAAGTAAGAAAGCCTAGAACAAGGGAAATTTTTTTTTGCACTAAGGATAAAAAACTGACAGAAATGAAATATGGTATCACTGTGAATACATAATATCAGAGCTAAATACTTACAACAGCAGCAAATACGCCTCAATCGAAGCTAGTTGAGAAATTTTGATCAGGCCTGAATAAACTTAATTTATGTTTTAACTCGCTCCTCACGTGCGGGCTTGATTTCTTTTGATAAGCCAAACACGTGAAATTCTTTTTGGTCATTTTAGTGGTGACCAAACAGTTAGGAGATGTGAGAGGTTGGCCTTGGTCGGTATGAGCCTATGAGGAGAGGTAGAGGTAGGCCAAAAAAGTATCGGAGAGAGTGATTAGGCAGGACATGGCGCAACTTAAGCTTACCGAGGATATTGACCCTTGATAGGACGGTGTGGAGGCCGTGAATTAGGGTAGAAGGTTAGTGGGTAATCGAGCATTTTTCTTTGTCTTTCCCATACCGGTACTATTAGTGTTAATATGATATCTTTTTATAACTTAGATTGCTATTACTACCTACTGTTTGATTGCTATCTTCACTTCGGTTTTCTTAATATGTTGCTGTTGTTACTGCTTATTGCCGCTGCTTCATTTAATCATCTCTTTAGTCAAGGGTCTACCGAAAAGAGCCTCTCTGCCCTCCAGGGCAGGGGCGGACCTACGTGGAAGGTAGAGGGGTCACCGGCACCCGTTAAGCTCGGAAAAAATCTTATATTTATATGTATGCATATAAAGGGTATATAACGTGAGACACGTTATATGTTTTGTTAGGCACCCTGATACTCAAAAGCCCTTTTGGCGCACTGGTCGCGTATGCAGCTTAGTGGTGCTCTTATGGCTTGGATAGCTTGGGTTCGATTCCAAGCTCCGGCAATTTGTTTTTCTTCTACTGTTATATGCCCATATTTCTCTTCTTTTGGCTATTTTTTTTAGTTTCCAGTCCTTTTTTGATTTTTGATTTTTAGTTTCTGCCCCAAACTCCTTTTCTTTTGATTAAACTTCCCTAAAAAAACCCAAAAGTTTTTTCTATGCTAAAAATTGAAGCTTAGAACTTATCATAATCATCGTCGTCTTAAGAGAGTTGCACGTCAAACTTTGTAGCTAATAATTTGCATGAGTCATGACTATATGTCAAAAATAGTAGTGCCCCCGTCACTTTCAAATTCTGGGTCCGCCTTTGCTCAAGGGTAGACGTAAAGTCTGCGTACACACTATCCTCCCCATACCCCACTTGTGGGAGTTCACTGGGTTTGTTGTTGTTGTTTTTGTTGTTATTGTTGTTGTATGTGAGAAAGCACGGGAGAAAATATATTATTGATGTATATACATATGTTACAATGAGCCCTATATATATATACACACATAACATGTCCTACTCCTAACATATATTGGATTAGGGTTATTTATTTACTCCTATTTACATGACTATTCTAACACTCCCCCTCAAGCTGGTGCATATAAATCATATGTACCAAGCTTGTTACATATGTAGTTAATACGAGGACCAGTGAGGGACTTGGTGAAAATATCTGCAAGCTGATCATTCGACTTCACAAACTTTGTAGCAATATCTCCCGAGAGTATCTTTTCTCTAACAAAGTGACAGTCAATCTCAATGTGTTTAGTTCTCTCATGGAACACTGGATTTGACGCAATATGAAGAGCAGCTTGATTATCACACACAAGTCCCATCTGACTAATCTCACCAAATTTCAACTCCTTGAGCAACTGTTTGATCCAAATTAGCTCACATGTCGCCATAGCCATTGCTCGATATTCTGCTTCTGCACTAGACCGAGCAACCACATTCTGTTTCTTGCTCTTCCAGGACACCAAATTTCCTCCTACCAAGACACAATATCCAGACGTAGAACGTCTATCAGAAGGTGATCCTGCCCAATCAGCATCTGAGTATCCAACGATCTGCTCATGGCCTCGACCCTCAAACAATAAACCTTTGCCTGGAGCTGATTTTATATACCGAAGAATGCGAACAACTGCATCCCAATGACTATCACACGGAGAATCCATAAACTGACTCACAACACTCACAGAAAAGGAAATGTCAGGTCTTGTCACTGTAAGGTAATTTAATTTACCAACCAACCGTCTATATCTTGCAGGATCGCTAAGAGGTTCCCCCTGTCCTGGCATAAGTTTAGAATTCGGATCCATCGGAGTGTCAACCGGTCTACAACCTGTCATTCCTGTCTCTTCAAGAATATCTAAGGCATACTTTCGTTGTGAGATCACAACACCTGAGCTAGACTGAGCGACCTCAATACCCAGAAAATACTTTAGTTTGCCCAGATCCTTAGTCTGAAAGTGTTGCAAGAGATGTTGCTTCAATTTAGTAATACCATCCTGGTCATTGCCGGTAATAACAATGTCGTCAACATAGACCACCAGATAAATACAGAGACTCGAGGCAGAATGCCGATAGAATACAGAGTGATCAGCTTCACTCTGAATCATGCCAAATTCTCGAATAACTGTGCTGAACTTACCAAACCAGGCTCGAGGAGACTGCTTTAGACCATAAAGTGACCGACGCAAGCGACATACAAGGCCACGAGACTCCCCCTGAGCAACAAACCCAGGTGGTTGCTCCATATAAACTTCATCCTCAAGGTCACCGTGTAAAAAAGCATTCTTAATGTCCAGCTGATAGAGGGGCCAATGGCGAACAGCAGCCATGGATAGAAAAAGGCGGACTGATGCTATCTTAGCCACAGGAGAGAAGGTATCACTGTAATCGAGCCCAAATATCTGAGTATATCCTTTGGCAACAAGACGAGCCTTAAGACGATCAACCTTACCATCCGGACCAACCTTGACTGCATACACCCAACGACAACCAACAGTAGATTTACCTGAAGGAAGAGGGACGAGCTCCCAAGTACCACTCGTATGTAAAGCAGACATCTCGTCAATCATAGCCTGTCGCCATCCTGGATGAGACAATGCTTCACCTGTAGACTTAGGGATGGAAACAGAGGACAAAGAAGATAGAAAAGCATAATAGGGTGATGACAAACGATGATAACTCAAACCGACATAATGGGGATTAGGATTAAGGGTGGCCCGTATACCTTTCCGAAGTGCAATCGGTTGATTAAGAGGAGACAAGTCCGCAGTATTAGCAGGGTCGGGTGCAGGACATGAATCAGCTGGACCTGATGCTGGGCGCGGACGACGATGATATGTCAAAAGTGGTGTTCCTGTGGCACTAGACTCCTCAACGGTTGGAATGGATAAGACTTCTATAGCGGAAGGTGAAGGAGGAGCTATAGGAGACTCGGGTAAGACTTCTGTGGCGGAAGGTGAAGGAGGAGCTATAGTAGACTCCTTAAAGGTCGGTATAGGTAAGACCTCAGATATATCAAGGGGGTCAGAAAGGTCAGAAGAGGTAAAGAAAGGTTTAGACTCAAAAAATGTGACGTCAGAGGACATAAAGTACCTACGAAGATCAAGTGAGTAACAACGATATCCCTTCTGAACACGAGAATAACCAAGGAAGACACACTTGAGAGCACGAGGAGCTAACTTATCTTTCCCAGGGGCTAGGTTATGAACGAAACAAGTGCTCCCAAAAACACGAGGGGGAACAGAGTATACGGGTGATTGGGGAAACAATACTGCATACGGTATCTGATTCTGGATGGGAGAGGAAGGCATCCGATTAACTAAATAACAAGCTGTGAGAACTGCATCGCCCCAAAAACGCAGCGGAACATGAGATTCAATGAGAAGTGTGCGAGCAGTCTCAATGATGTGCCTATTCTTTCTCTCTGCAACCCCATTTTGCTGAGGGGTATAAGGACAAGAGGTCTGATGAATAATTCCTTGAGAAGTCATAAACTGCTGAAATTGAGAGGATAAATATTCTAAGGCATTATCACTGCGAAAAGTGCGAATGGAAACACCAAATTGATTTTTAATTTCAGCACAAAAATTCTGGAATATAGAAAACAACTCAGAACGATCTTTCATTAAGAAAATCCAAGTACATCTTGAATGATCATCAATAAAACTAACAAAATAACGAAATCCCAAGGTTGAACTGACTCTACTAGGACCCCATATATCAGAGTGAACTAAAGAAAAAATAGACTCTGCGTGACTCTCAATACTACGAGGATAGGAGGCTCGGGTATGTTTCCCGAGCTGACATGACTCACACTCTAATGTGGATAAACTAGACAAACCAGGCACCATCTTCTGAAGCTTGGATAAGCTTGGATGTCCTAAACGTCTGTGAATTAGGTCCGGAGGATCTGTAACTAGACATGCCTTGGAGGATTTTAGGGAGTTAAGGTAGTAAAGCCCTTCTGATTCAAGTCCTGTTCCAATCGTCTGCCCTGTACTGCGGTCCTGCATAATAAAAGAATCATCAATAAAATATATACCACAATGGAGGGCACGAGTCAAACGACTAACAGATGCAAGATTAAAAGGACAGCCAGGGACATAGAGAACGGAATCTAGAGTGACAGAGGGTAGGGGATTCGCTTGTCCAACTCCTTTTGCTTTGGTTTGAGACCCATTGGCTAAAGTAACAGTGGGAAGAGACTGTGAATACGCAATATTTGACAAAAGTGATTTATTACCAGAGATATGATCAGAAGCGGCTGAGTCCACAACCCATTGTCCAGGAGGACTAGACTGGGAAACACAAGCAAAAGAATTACCAGCAACAGAAGTATTAGTCTGAGCAACAGAAGCTACTTGTGGAGATGTCTGCTTACTTGCTCGATACTGAAGGAACTCATTATACTCCCCTTCAGATAAAGAAAATCCCTGGTTACCTGTAGTCTCAGTCTGAGCAACATAAGCATTTTTGGTTGGGCGGCCATGTAAAGAATAGCATACATCACGAGTGTGTCCAAGTTTATGACAATAGGAGCACTTGGGTCTAGATCTTCCAAAACGACCTCCTCCTCGTCTATTTTCCATAGTATGAGATGCCCGATTGTCCACTGATTGGGATACGAGGACAGATGAGTCAAGTGTCTGTGATGAGCTCACTGGGTGACTAGGTGCTGCAACAAGGCGAAGTAATCGAGAGAATAATTCATCAACTGTGGGAACGGTTGGACTAGCCAAAATCTGGTCACGTACTGAATCAAGGTCATTAGGGAGTCCAGCGAGTGTAAGAACTAGAAACATCTTCTGTCTTGCTCTTGTGTTTTTCAATACTAGCAGAAACTGGCATCAACGTCTCAAATTCTTCCATGACTGCCTGAACTTGTCCCAAGTAAGTAGACATATCTAATTCCTGTTTCTTCAAGCTTGTCATTCGCGATATTACATCATAGAAACGAGATATGTCATTAGTGTATAGATTACGAGCCTTTTCCCAAACTAAATAACATGTCTGGAATGGACGGAACAAGGGCATCAACTTGGAATCAATAGATCGCCACAGGATACTACATAACTGAGCATCGACCTTCTCCCATTGTGTTTTGGCCTTTTCATCACCTTCGCTAGCCTTTTTTGTTAAATGATCTTGAACTCCTTGACCTTTACACCACAACTCGACAGATGAAGCCCAATCTAAGTAGTTTGAACCTCCCATTAAAGGTTCTGAGGTAATCATAACACCAGAACTGCCAGAACCTGGGTTTCTAGACCCGAAAGCATCGACTCCCAAAGACATGGTTGGATTATCACCAAATAACAAAAAGAATCAACTGAAAATTCTCTGAGACAGATGAAGAAAACACTGTGTTTGCCGGAAAAGTACTGTAGCTGCCGGAAAAATCAGTGTAGTCGCCGGAAAAACTCAAAGTGGTCAGAATTAAAAAATAAAAATATGGACAGGCTCGGAATTGCAGGGCGATCCAACTGTCCTGAAGAAGCGAAGCCGAAAAATGGCCGGAAGAGGCCTCACGCGCCGGCGCGTGGGACAGACGCGCCGCCGGCGGCAGAGTTCCGACAGGCGCGTGACGGCGCGTGGAGGGCTATTTTCCGGTGATTTTTTCTGGGTTGGTCGGATCTCTCTTGGGAACCTTGTGGTGGTGTTGGATTTTGCACAACACTGTTAATTAGTGACTTTGACGCAATAAGTCACTTAGGTCACCGGAAAATTGCACGGTGACTGAGTTCTTTCTTCCCGGAAGTCGCTGGAATGATGCACAGCGATATGTTTCTCACTAAAGCTCTGATACCATGTGAGAAAGCACGGGAGAAAATATATTATTGATGTATATACATATGTTACAATGAGCCCTATATATATATACACACATAACATGTCCTACTCCTAACATATATTGGATTAGGGTTATTTATTTACTCCTATTTACATGACTATTCTAACAGTATTTATTCCATTACTTTACGAAGTTCTGTGGAAGCACATTGGATAATGCTTAGAAAATTCTATGTTGTGGCTTTACATTTTCTTTAAGGATGGTGATGTCCAGGCCAGCTAATATCGTTGCTGCTTTACATTTAATTTTTTGATAAATCTTTCTACAACAACAACAACAAACCCAAAGGAATCTCACAAATAGGGTTTGGGGAGGGTGATGTGTACGCTGAACTTAGCACTACCTCATGAAGGTAGAGAGGCTGTTTCCGATAGACCCTCGACTTAAATCTTTCTATGGCATATTTATACTATTCTCACATATATTTTTTACTGGTTCTAAGCTTCAAAGACTTTTTATTAATTTTCTCGCCAGACACATTAGGAGTAGTCAAAGTGAGGTAGCTGGAGTATTAAACTCATTTATGCTCTTAAGACTCTTTCTCTAATTGGAAGCTTGAACTAAATTTTACAGTGGTATTTGACGAGAGTTTGAACTTGAAATTTCAGATCTAAGAACTGTGAGTACTAGTGGAATTTGTTTTAAGTGGTTGGTCTTTCCCTTAAATCCTTTTCCTTTTCTGGTGCTAGAATGCAGGAAGATGAAATTGATTATAGTGGAAAGGTTGTGCTATAAGTGCTTAGCTAGAAAAAAAAAGGATCTGTGATGTGGAAAAGAAGAAATTATGTTTGATGCATAAAGCCTTTCTGAGACTTGAAAAGATTTGAAATATGAAGTGATTTTCTTTTACAAAATTTTGCATTCCTCTGTTTTCCTCAGTATAATTCTTCCACTAATTTTGCAAGCAGGAAAATGTGGGAGACATCAATGAAAGGTCTTTTAAGCTTGGTCCGGAGAACGACTCCTTCGTCTTTTGCATATATTTGCGAGAAGATGGGAAGTTCTTTAAATGACAAGGTGATGTATAAGCTTTTGCACATATTTGGGGAGTCTGAGATGTGTTAAATTCTTGACTCTGTTTTATTTACCCTTTTGGATTTTGTGCAGATGGATGAACTTGCATGCTTTGCTCCTGGGATGTTAGCTTTAGGATCATCTGGTTATAGCCCTAATGAGGCTCAGAAGTTCTTATCACTGGCTGAGGAGGTATTTTTAACTTACAGAGCATCATTACGAAATGTGATTTTAGGTTTCTATTTGCGAAATGATCTCCATATGCCCCAATTCGTGTGTGTGCCACTATGTTGATTGAAAGTGATAATAAGAAAGAGGTATATCTACAGTCATATGGAGGAAAATTGCGTCAAAAGACCTATACTTCTCGGAGTTAATGCGGATGTAGCTAAAAACAATACACAAGAAAGGATCCATATAAGCAATACCAACTAATTGGGATTAAAGATCCATAGAGTTCTCATGTTTGCTGTTACTCCTTTTTATTTTGGTTGAAGATTTATGTAATTGTTTAACTAGAAGTGTGAGATTTACATCTAGTTTTAGTGAACCCCTGATAGTATTAATGAACCCTTATTTATTATTGGAATGCAATGGGTTTAAGTAGAGGCCCTAAGTTGCTCTGACACGGCACTTTAGGTGCCGTACCCGTGTCGACACGACACTAGTATGGGTGTGGGTATGGGATCCGTACCGGATCTGGTCAAACAATTTTGGGTACTGTGACCGCGACAGACGGAAAATTTCGAGACGAGATACAATTTGATTCCCGAAATCAGAACCAAAACAAGGGTAAATTTGAAGAAAATAGCATATCTTATCCAAGAAATCAATTCTTTACTTATCTATAACTTGGGAATAAAAAAAAAATCCACACTTTACAAGCTATACATAAGTATTCCACCAAATTTCTCATAATTTAGATATATTTTTATATTTTTTGAATTATTTTTAGCCGGATCCCCGCACCCGTATCCGTACTAGGATCCATATCCCCGAATCTTAGAATTTACATCTCGAAGGATCTGACCTCTAGATCCAGACCCGTGTCGGAAACCCGCACCCATGTCCGAGCAACTTAGAGTAGAGCATAATGGATACAGAGAATTCATATAATCAACTCTTTACTTGTTTAGGTTTGAGGTTTAGTCAATTGATTAATTGAATTGAGAAGCGGTCTCTGTCGAAAAAAGTTTTAGGTTTTAATTCAACTTTTGAGCATTAGCGATGGTGAGCAGTGGGCAATGCTCTCCTACCACCAGATGTTCGCTTTCATTGGCTGTTATATTTAGCTGGGGGTGCTGAAAGGTGAAGTGTGGGATAAGAACTAAGCGTTAGTGACTCTTAAATGTGTTAGGGGGCTAAGTGTTAGTCTTTAGATTGTGCTTGCCCCTATGATTTGACTTGCCTTTCATCTCTAGGTTTCCCTTTCACATGATGGGAAGGCCCAGAGGATTAGGGGTTCTTTCTATAGGAGCTTTTAGTGACTGCAGTGTTGTTTCTTGTTGCCAGAAAGTTCTAGTATTGCTTTTTTGCTGAATATCTTAACCTTCTCTTGCAGCTTGCTTGGACTTGCTATAACTTTTACCAGTCAACACCTACAAAACTGGCAGGAGAGAACTATTTTTTTAGTGCCGGCCAAGTCAGTTTTTTCCTTTTAGTTCATAGTGATGTTTGTTTTGTTGTTTGCTTATGGTGATAACTTATTTAAATTGTTCATCCTGTTTAATGCTCTTCAGGACATGAATGTGGGCACATCATGGAATATATTAAGGCCTGAGACAGTTGAGTCGCTGTTTTACCTCTGGCGTTTAACAGGAAACAAGACATACCAAGAGTGGGGTTGGAACATATTTCAAGCATTTGAAAAGAACTCAAGGATAGAATCTGGATATGTTGGACTTAAAGATGTAAGAACAAACTCAATTCTTTCAACTTTGGATAGTACCTACACCTCCATTATCTTCTTTCTTTAAATGCCTTCAAATGCTGCATCTTTAATTCTGTTTCTGGAGGTTAAAAATCTGCTGCTATTTCCCGTGTTCTTTGTTAAAAAATTGTGTCTCCTCATGAAATAGACTCTTTTTTGGATTTTGATATTGATAATTGGGATATACATACATGAATCATGAATGTTACTTTTATGCTATTGTTTGATGGAAAATTTGGTGCTCCTACTTGGTGTTGTCTCTCTCCTTCACCTTGTAAACACCAGCTCGCTTCTAAACTTCAGTTTTCGTTTTTGGGTTTTGCAGTACTCTAATTACAGGCAGGTTTCTCAAATTTGATTTATTGAGCAATCTTTAATATTTAGTGAAGTACGAAAATATGTAACATGTGAAACGGTGTACCTCGGCCAGCCCATCCATTAGATAATTGTACGCAAAGAGCAACATTGAGCTAGTGAGCCCCCCCTCCCTCCCTCCTTTTTTTTTTATTGCTGACCCTGATCTTTATTTTCTCCTACTAGAAACTCAACTTCAGAGCTACCCTTTTTTGTTCTATGGATGCTCAGTATTTTTATTGCATCTTCTCCTATTTGAAGCTAAATTTGTCCTGGGACAGCAAAAACTTGACTCCATTCCTTGTAGCCCAATGTTTCTTTCCAGTTATAAAAGCAAGTTGTGAAGATAAAAATGAAGCGGAGGGATTTTGAAATACAAGGTGTCTAGTTTCAGAGAATGTATAATCAAATTGTTGCGACTAACTTTAGCATGCATAATTGCTGACTTTTACCACGTCGACTGGTCTTCACGGGCAGCTGTCAAAAGTTTGTTGGGAACCTCTAGAATTCAGGGTTTTGTGCTTGTAATTTGTCGGTATGACTGCTTTTTCGTGTTATTCAATGGAGACATATACCACTAAATTTGGTTGTGAAGGGAAGGTTTTAATTTCATATACAGTATCGTTGTTGACTTCTGTTTTAATGCTTTTTTCGGTTTTCCCAGGTCAACACTGGTGTCAAAGACAATATGATGCAAAGCTTCTTTCTTGCGGAGACTCTTAAATATCTCTATCTTCTTTTTTCACCCTCATCAGTAATCTCCCTAGATGAGTGGGTTTTTAACACAGAAGCCCACCCCATAAAAATTGTTACCCGGAATGATCGTGTTATGAGTTCTGGAGGGTCAGGTGGACGGCAAGAATCAGATAGGCAATCACGTACCAGTACCAGGAAAGAAGGTCGATTTCGTATTAATCATTAATCAAGCTGTTGATAAAGTATAATGGGATTGAATGACCAAGTGGAGTGTCTCATGAAACTTGCATCTGAGGTAAAAGAAGGATCTGCACTCTGTTAACTCCAGATTGTCTGGATGTATTGCTATATTCTGTAGCTTATTAAATGCCACCACATGGAGCAGTAGTTTTATGTAGCTTAGCTTAGCTACTTTAGATTCGCTTCTTAAACTGGCGTGTATTATAGGAGATTGCAATTTTTGCCGGCAGCACCACATTTTTGGGCTTGATGAGCAAATTGCTAGTCGCACCTAATTTTTCCCTTAGAAAGCAAAAACTCATTTCAATGGGCACAAAATATGACATTTGTGTTCCTGATTTTTTTTCTTTATCGTTGGGGCTGGGTTTGAGTTGTACTACTCCTGAGAATTGACGTGTGTAAAGTTATATGTATTTGAATTTGTGAATTTACGGTCCCTGTGACACTCTCTGTGTTTCAGATATATATATCTGATACTCTGATTTTTATATACCTGTATTTGATTGGATGTAGAGTTTAAGAAAGAACAATTTTAAAAACTTGCGGCCTTAAACATGTCATGTTATTTATATGGTTATAAAAGTATGTCATTAATAATAAAATGAGAAGTATACGGTTAATTTATCTATCTATATCTATACTATATTAAAAGTAGGAACCTCTTAATTGAAAAGTTAAATTATTTTTTTACCCTTCTTATTTTTGTATCTTATTAATTTTTAAAAAAGAAAATCAAAGAGAAAGCTACATAAAGATGCCTAAAAAAAAAGAAAACAACGACTTCAAAGAAACGACGCTTACAAAAAGAGAGAGAAAAACGTCTGCAAAGAGACGCCAAGATTTGGGTCACTTTAATTCTTTCTTCGTTATACCCGTTTTATTCTTCTTCTTTTCTAAAGTTTTGTCTTCTCTTTCTTCTAAACGTTTTATTTCAAATTTAGTATTTTTTTTTCCTTTGTTCTTGACGTGGAGTTTTTTCAAATTTGTTGGTTCCCTTTTGTAAGCACTTAAATTTACTTCAAGATGAAAGCAGAAAAATTGCAAAATACAAAATACATTGAAGGAGCAGATGATGTTGTATACTGGGTTATCATTTATCGTACTTCAGGTATAACAAATTTCATTTTATGTTTTGATTATATAAATAGACGTCTTTTTAATGGAACTAATTATGTTTATTCTATATACGTTTGGCTATTTCCTCAAGTATTTTTTTTCCAGTCTTATTCCTCAAGTATATGCTTCTAATTCTTTACATGTTGGTCTTTCTAGCTCTTTAATCGTGTCCTTATAATATTTAGGGTGAAATTTTTTTATTTATAATTTATGATCGTACTTCTATTTTTTGAACCATTACAAAGACGCAAAGAAAAATATTCTTTAGTCAAATAAGGCTGCCATTGGTCTGGTAATTACTAGATCAGGCGCGCGAAAAATAAATAGAAGATAGTCTATCCTAAAAATGTTAAAAAAGTCATTGCAAAGACAGGAAGAAAAATATTCTTATTTTGATCAGAATGCCATTGATTTGATCAGGCTGCTAAGGCACGCGACAAATAAATATATTGATCAAAATTGGGTTGACATAAAATTTGAGGATAGTCTAAATATGAAAAGAATATATATGGATGTAAAACTACCTTTTAATTTTCTCTCATCTGCTTCTTTTGTGAACTTTCTTTATTACACGAACTATAGCTTTTATGAAGACTGGAGGGCAAGAGTGGAGAGTCCTTTTATGTGTTTGACTAATTGATGCACAACGTTATGTTTTGGATAAAAAGGAAAGTGAGAATATACAGCGTAACTGGATAAAATAAATTATCTCTTGAATAAACACATAATGACATTCTAAAAGACAAATTAAGGGATCAGAAAAATTCGAGTATAAATGAAGTTGATGTGAAGCTGAAAATCAAGTTATTTTGATCCATGCATTTATCTGGTGGCCAATTTGAAAAGACACCTCATAATCATTTATGGGAAGAGAAAATATTATTACCTTAAGTCAAGAAGTTTATTTTTGCTATATTTTGGTGAAACAAGTGATATAAATACCATGGTTGATTTCCTTCATTTAAAAACAAACTAGACTCCATTAATAACTACATTATGGATGTTTAATTGTTTAATTTCTTAATACATTATATAAATTGTAATATAGTCACTTCAGTAAAGGCCATATCAGCTTCTTCCAAATGAATTATGCATTCTTATGTAAACTTATTTGTCTGATAACTATGTTAAGCCTTAAATATCTTTTACATGCATCTTCTAACTTTAAACGTTGTCTTCCGACCAATTACTGATTAATTTAATAACATTATCAAAGCACATGGTAGTGACAAAGTACCATTTGTGCTCCACCATTCTAGACTATCATATTTTATTATGGAGATAAAGAATGTCAAGATTTCAGTGTGATCCCTGTTAAATGACTAATAATAAAATATTTATACATTTCTCTCTTCACCCCGAAAAAGTGAAGATGACATTAACATACTTTCAAAACATAAAATTTTCCCTAATAAAGACCAGCTGGAGTTGGGTGATATAATTGACTATCTCATGTTAATGGCCTAGCAATTAAAAGAAACAATAGCATTTGATGTGTAAGAGTTGTTGATTGAGATGTAATTGGGTTTACTATCTTTATTTGGACAATCTCTTGGAATTTCCTTTTTTGGTCTCTATACGTAAAAATTTGTTACAAATAAATATATTGTTAAGAAAATATGTTTCTTATACAAGTGCATCGTTAATTTTTTGTAATTATTTGTTATTTTCTATTTCCCTTCAATTCTTGAGTTTGAAAAATAAATTATTGTTAGTACAACAAACTATGCTCTTTACAATTAGAAAATAATAATAAAAAGGCATATATACATAAGATGTTGGATGCATGGAGTACTGGACACAACACAAAGTACGTATTTTGAAAATTTTTACTCAAAAATATTTTAAAATGAACAATCACTTTTTTCATCTTCTCTGTTAATGCTTCAGGCTAGGGGTGTACATGGACCGGGTTAGTTCGGTTTTTATCAAAACCAAACCAAACCAACTATATCTGTTTGGATTGGTTCGGTTTTGTCAGGTTTTCGGATTTTTTGTTACTTACATATTATTTTAATCTTACTTTGTTAAATATTTCATAAGTAAATATCTATTTAATAAAAATATAAAAAATTGACAAACATATTATCGATTAAAATATTCTTATGGGAGAATTATATTAGTAACACATAATAACTATTTTTTTAGTCGTCTGACAATAAATTTTCGTTGCAATGCACTTTCAGGTTAACCGAATTTAGTAATTAAATATAAAAATCAATATGATACCTAAATATTAATAACCACTTCACATTCGTAAAAGATATAAGAATTTAATAGATCTTAACATATGATATGAATATGGAAGAACAAAGAGATAGACGCATTTCAGTAACACTTGATAAGAAAGTGATCATACAACCCATTATTTAAGGTCAATATATATGGAGCACTTCATATTCTATTAAAATTTATATCCCGCAAGAGAATCCCAAATATTTCTAGACATTTTTTAAAGAAAATTCTATATAAAATTTTAAAAATATATATATTTATATATTGGGTTGGTTCGAGTTTTTTACTCAATACCAAACCAAATCAAACCAAACCAAGTCGGGTCTTTTAATCGGTTTGATTTGACTTTTCGGTTCGATGCGATTTTTCGATTCGGTTTGTACACCCCTACTTCAGGCTCGGCCGCTTACTTCTTTTACCAAATCATCTATCTTCTTTCTTCAGTCATCTTTTTCTATTTTACCATCTAAACTTCCACAATATTTATTTACGGCGAAATCGACTTGTAAGTTACTTCTATTTAACTAGCAGAAAACGATCGTATTTATACAAACATCTCATGCTCCTCCTTGGCTTGATTTACCAATTGATTTTATGATATGAATTCTAAAATCTTCTTTTACCTTCTCTCATTGAGCTATATGTGTTATGCAAAATAGTCATAATTTGGAGATGAGTAGAATTTATTGAGTTTGAATTGTTTGGCATTAGTTCTCTCTATTTCTTTTTATTATTGTGCGTATCTTTCACATTATTAAGAGCGCAAGTGTAAATCATTATAATATCTTGGACGTTGCAAAATATTTTATGCTAGCTAGAGATGAACTTATTAGAAACACTTCTTGAATCATTGAAATAAAAAAGTTATCATGAACACCAAAAATAAATTCCCAATCACCCAAATAAACGAACAAGTACCATCATTTTTGCAAATCTCAAGCTCTTTTACTTGAGAAGTGCAGGGAATGGAACTTGATACTACGTGATTCAATATACACGTGCGTTCACGTGTCGAAAAACTAGTTGTCTTCAAATATATAAATGTGCTATTCTTGACTAAAACGGAAAGGGTGCTTTAGAAAATGGAATAGGGGGAGTACGTCGTTTTAGTTACATATAAGTACTGGAGATTTCTTATCTGCAAGTCGTTTAGAAAAAAAATTTATACCGCACTTTATTTGGTTAATTTATTCAAGTTTAATGATTAGACCTTTTCGAACAATTTCATTTCTCTTGGTTTGACTTCAGTATCGGTTTATTGTTGGTACGACTTTGCTTTTAATAAGAAAATTTTCAATGATCTTAGTATATTTAAAGCATTAAAATTAGTAAGGTATTGCGTTAAATATCATTTTTATTTTTTATTTCTGCTTTTATATATCATTTAATTTACTATTAAGTGAATGATATGAACATAAGATTGGTAGCACACAAGTGGCAAGGACAGGCCTCCAATTGCCTGCAACTACTCAAATGTTCGTTTGATATTAGTAGTTCATCTGTTATGATACTATCAGCAACAGCGTTTTAATAGGAGCTACGGAGTTTCAAACATTTTGCAAATGTTGTTATGATAAAAAAATAAAATGTGATGTATAATATCGTCAAAATAATTTCAAAATACATATATGACAAAAACTTGAGGAATCAACGTTCCAATCCACTTTGAAAATTAGAGATTTGTATCGCATGAAAACAGAAACAAGAATTAACAAAGAAAAAAGGCCAGCCATATTAGATTCGAAAAGATGTAGAAGCGAGAAAATAAAGGAAGAAAGAAAAATTTGAGTATTGTGTTGATATATTTATAGTAGCAATCCAGTAAATTAGGACAAGGCACCCATCCGCAAATGGCGCATGCCATTATATGTGCGGCGATCGATAACGGCGAAAGAATAGTTCGCAGTGCGTGAATAGTACGTAACTGGCCTCGCTTATGCTTCAGCTTCTACATGCCCTTAATTTGATAATGGATAGTCTATCCGTACGTGTCCCTTAATTTCCTCTTCTGATCAAATAAATATTGGGTCGATCGATTGATCTCTGACACAGTAATTGCAGTAACACTTGTTCTGTAATGGCTACTCACCCTCGTTTTCTTTCTTTCCTTCGCCATCGTTATCGATCCTTCTACACA